TTGTACTCAGTACTCGTCCTCATTGTTCAGTGAGGGATACAAACTAAGTGCAAGTTTTCCAAATTTGCTACTGTAAATGTACAATAAGATATAGTTCACATAATATTATTATACTATAAGTTGCTATAAAGCATATAATTATATAAGTGTCATTTTAATATTATCATTATTTAGAATGCCTTGATTAAGAAAAAAAGTTTTAGACTAAAACGTGAACAAAAGTCACAGCTTCAGCAGTAAATAAATAATAGGAAAGTATTTCCGCATATGGAATTAGATGTTGTTACCCATAAAGTTGATAATTTTATGGTCTAAATAATGCCCAAAATTGACAGACAAATCAAAGAGAAATATCTTCAGATGTAATGCAATTAATATTACTAAACCACTTTCACCTGTATCAAAATAATAATAATATTGTATGTACTGATTGGTTAGATGTTATAAACGGACTCCCTGGTGCTGGTTTACAAAACATTGAACTTACACGTTATCAAAATGATATTATACAAGTATTACATACTCCAGCATTTGTAAACCACATTCTTACCAAATTGAAAACTCATGAATGCAGGAGAATTTAAACACCAGTGTTTATGTAAATGGGATCATTTATAATCCAGATGTTTTCGGGTAACAACAGTTTTAATAGTGCAGCATGGTTACAGAACTATTTAATCCTTTTTTGAAAAATGATTCCCATGACGTTCTTGTGAATAATGTTGACATATTAGAACAATATGGCGTAAACATCAATAATATGCCAGTACAAACTTTACAAAGTATATCTATGGGTATCTATAATAACACATATAGATCAGATTGTTAGTCTGTTTACTGTTTTACAACTTCCTATCACATATTATAGTTATAGTGAACCAGTTTCTATTTCGCAAGGTTTTTACGATTATTTTAGTGAAGAAACAAGACGTGAACATTCGTGTAGTCATTGCAAAGAAGTTCATGACACTGTAAACGTTTTTCAAATTTTGGGAATGAAATAGAAACAGTTGTCAGTTATTCAATAAATTTAAACATGTCTGAGTATGTAAGCAACAGTTACTATGGTAATACTTCATACAAGTTATATGGTGTAATAGTACTCAGTCTAATCCATTACATTACTATGCCTTATGTATTAAAGCATCTGATAATACCTGGTATAAATTAAATACACTAAGTGTAACACTTATTGATATCAAAAAAGTTTTAAAAGAACAGACTTGCATGCTATTTTATGAGTTGATAGAAATAAATAGTAATTCTTATGAATCCACCAATTTCAGCAAAGAATCATGTAACATGGCAAGATTTGTCTACTGATGTGAAACATTATGTTCAAAATAAGGCTGCTGTTAGTTCTCTCTTCAATATGATGTGTTAAGTAAAGAATTACACAGGCAAATTGAGCTTGATGAAATAAAAAAGGCATGAGAAAGCTGGTGTTATTGATCGTAAGAGAGAATATACAAAACAATATATGAAACAGAATCGTAAAGATCAATGTTATCGCCAATCAGAGTTAAGAAAAAGGAAAATAACGGGACGAAATATCTCACAATTTGAGATATTAAAAGAAAATAAGTAGGAAAAATATAGAGAATGAGAAAAATCCAATGAAATTAAAGAAGAAATTTATACAACAGCTTTAGAAAGAGCGTAATGCGAAGAGATTAAGTAGAAAAAGTGTAGAACATTTAGCCAATTCTTGGTCTTAACTGAACGAGTTGTATCAACTAGTCCCTTGCGGGCAAGGTTTCTGTAGTTTTGCTATGTATTTATAGTACTTTGTCTAAGACACTAGGGCCAGTATGATTACCAAACGATTCAGTGTGGTATTAAGAGTTTTAAGGGGTGAGTGATACCAAGGTGGGAAATGGTTGCACATATGGGAGTGATTTCTGGAATTGCAATAGAGAGGGTTCAGGCCAAAATACAATATATAGTGTTTTCATGTTCGTCTG